CCCTCCCTCGAACCGTACGCGATTAGTGGTGTCATTTGCCACCACGCCACCAACGTCCGAATTATGTTTACATTTCAGGTGCCTCATGACCTGAAGTGCATTTTTTGATTTCGTGTCAGTACATTCATGAGGTGTTTCAAAAACATCGGAGTGTGGTGAAACTAAACTAAAACACCACACAATAACTATCTCGAGCAGGTGGCTTCAGTGGGAGAGCATAACTGATCCAAATGGACATCGATGGCTTTTCTAGCAAGATTCTCTTCAGGGTGAAGTTCCTCTAGCAAAAAAAGATCCAACCATTCTGGCACAACACGTTCAACAACGACTCAAGAAGATCATCGCAGGGCAGATGTTGCATCAAACTTCTATTCAATTACGTCCCACTAGAACGTCATAAAGTAAAACGCGACAAAGATGGTTCATGGTGCTTCATTCCTCATTTGAGTCGAATAAAGCAACGAGTGCTTCCATATTTTCTTCATAAAGAGCGCTGTCATTGTCTTCGTCAACCAATTTGAAACACCTCATGAATGTACTGACACGAAATCAAAAAATGCACTTCAGGTCATGAGGCACCTGAAATGTAAACATAATTCGGACGTTGGTGGCGTGGTGGCAAATGACACCACTAATCGCGTACGGTTCGAGGGAGGGTCAAATTGAATCGCCCAGGACAATCAAGCCCTCCATAGAGGGTCATCTAAGATCTACGAGGTGGCCACGAGGAGGGGGTTCTCAATACGAGACCCCCCCCCGCACCACCACCATCATCAGACTTGAGAGTTGAGCTCCTCCATAGTCCGACTATCACCCTCACTACCATGACCATAAGTGGCAAGAGCTGCCGAAATTTTTTCTATTTCATGACATTTCATGGAGTTTTTGCCAAATTTGTCAAAACCACACCGCCCCTACTCTACATGACCATGACCCCTTCAACTTCCTCAATGACTCTTCGAACTTAGTCAATTTTTTCAACCCGAAAACCCATGACCATCATTCTCTGGAAAAAATTGTAGTACGTCCTCCTCTTCTGATTCAGTCACACGGACGGTAGACTCTGCCTCCAACTCCCATTACAGTAGTTGGTGCTATACTGATCTGGGAGGAAGTCAAATCGCGTTAATGTCACTACGATTCTGATTGGAAGCAGGATGCATGGCGCATCCTGGACTGAGTCAACCATTGCGTAGGAACAAATTTCCTTTCAGCACGTCTCACCGTCAAAAGAAGTTTCCCGGCGACCACATTCCTATTGGTCTAAGCAACTCCTTGGTTACGAGCCAACAGTGAAATCATGGTGCAGATAGGAGGGAGAGGGTGTAGCATAGCAGAAAACGAGGATATGTGAGGAAACATGAAATATCATAACATAACCTAACATGAAAGGTAATATACTCTGCATGTTCAGTTGCTCAATTCTTCTACCTTTATGAGAAAGACGTATTCGAAAGCAATGCAAATAATGAAAGTGTATCTCCCCAAGGAACGAGCCGCATGCGCTAAAAAGGCATCTCCTCTCTCTGGCGCGCGCTTCCTCTACTGACCCAGAGGGAGACCGACTGCATACTTTGAAGGACATATGATGCAACTCTTTTATTCACTTCAAATCAATGTTAGGGCTTATATCAAGACCCGATCTTAAGGGGGGGGGACGCACTGCTGTGACCACGTCCTCGACACGATTCCCACCCCGCCTCCAGTTCTCCTTCCACAATCCCTATACTTTTCTAAAGCAGAATTGTCTGCCGAACGCTCAAGTGTTTCGGGAAGGAGGATATGGGAGGAACGGGTACATAGTCCTGCGTCCATGAATGTCTTTGTTGAAAGGTGCCCTACCATTAGTTTTGCCCAGCGAAAACGTTCCTTTCGCGCTACCGTCAACGAAGTCGGTGAACCAACAAATCCCTCAAACTTGCAAATATAGACGGCTGACTCGTTGTGGAGCAAGTCAGGCTGGTAAACTAGTGAAACTGTGGTATATATCAAGTAAAATACCCTTGTAGTTCGTCAGCTATTGAGGTGCGAAAGGAGTAATGTCTGCAAGAGGTTCTAGAGCGTTTCGTATATAGAAAGTTGCCCGAATAGCCGAATTTGAAATGTGTTATTCGGTATCGTATCTGTAACGCAGGCATTCCATTTAGCGCTATTATTGTCGGTCTCTTTTAAGAATTCTAAATATCGTAAGATTTTAACATCGCGAAACGCCTTCCTCATATTTTATGCTGAATTATATTTTTAGATTGCATAAATCGGGCTTGATTCATCGCTAGCGTTGAAGGCCTCTGTCAACACGATGACTAGACGGTGAATGTGAGAAAACCGCGGGGGTGCACCTACTCATGCTGTCCTTGCCTATGACTCACTAGTATACACAACTTTCACGATGCGATAGGGCACATAGATGAGTTCGGAAGCTTTCAAAGCACGAGAACACTGGGCAGAAGTCGCATTTCTACACCGGAAATGGCGCACTGACGAAGTACATCATTGGCAATTAAGGCTACGGGACAAAAACTAGGAAAGGGAAGCCCGCTGCGTCATGAAGGGGCAGTAAAGCATTGGTAAGATTTGCTTGTACTCCATTGTGTGACTATAAAGACCGCGACTCGAATTTGTGTGATAAAGTTAGGGTTATCGTGCCAAATATGGCAACACCACTGAAAGTGCGCTAAGGGAAGACCTAATCATCCCGACGGTTTCTTTAACCCACAAAAGGAAGCTTTCCAGCTTAAACCTTGACATTTTTGATAATTTGTAGTGAAATGGAGGCAAGAGGCAGATCGAGCCTCTTCACCTCAATTGCGAATTATTTCTTTAGTTTGAAGATGTTTTGAATAATGCTGCTAGACAGGTGAACTACTGCTACTAGTAGCATGCACTTTTCCAAAGAATTATTCCACCTGTTTTAACAGGAGCGTTGCTCTTGAGAATTGGGATTCGCAGAAGAAATACAGTTAATGCACCGACGATGTGCACCCTTCTTGCTCATTGAGTTCCACTTGGGACAGCGCGACGCACTGCGCCTTGCACTAACGTCATCTATGTTTTTACAAAGGAGGCTTACTTTTTGATTTTTTGCTTTGTTGCTTATATCACACAATGGTCTGACTTCAACAACGTGGTAAAGGATGGTCAAACATGCTCTAGTTTAGCAGTGGCTTTCTTTGGAAAAATGCAAGTTTGATTCACTCCTCCTTTTCTTTCTTATTTTATCAACATGTAGGTATGAAAGAAAAACAAGTGACCACGTGATTACAGACCTGAACGCACGGCAAGGTATGTTTTAACTGGAACAACCTCTCAGAAATACTTTCATCGTTTACTACAATAAGACTAAGTAACTGGGAAAAACTAAGATATTTGCTTTTTCATTCACATAACACGTCCTGACGTTCTACTATTTTACCTCTAGAGCTATCACAACATTGCATAATGTTGAAGTTGTTGTAGAACCGACGCGTTTTTTTTGTGGTGCTTTTTGTAGTGCAGTGCGCTCGCAAAATCGCGCAGGTTCCACGTAGCAAAAAAATCATAACGGTACTTGGTCAATGCGTGTTGTTTGGATAGGTGGAGTGAAGTGTCTGGTGACCCGCCAGAAGACAAATCAGTTTAGGTTTTAACAAGAGGGGTTCCAAGCAACTTGGGATCATGAATGCGAAATAGAGCGGCCAAGTGTTCCATAGAAATGGATTTAGAAAAGTATTGACCACACACAAAAACCTGGGCTAAATAACACTTGAAAGTCTTGAAACGTTCTTCCCATGCTGCCAGATGGTGCCCAGAACTTGATTAACACCCCGACTCTGTAAATGTGCGTGTATGTGTGAGCTTGTAATATATTGTGTATCCCTTTCCAAAGAATTGTGATTGCCAGTGACTGGTCCCAGATCACACAAATGATGACCTGACTGAGTAGGCGTGCTCATGCTTTCGCAACTGAACAGGACTTCAGCGAGGAACCGGGGAGCTGATATGCATGCCTATCAGTAGGCGTTTATACGTACCAGTTCTCGCGGTCAGGACAAGCAAGATTTCTGTTTTTGGTAAGCCTAAGCCTAATCCAAAGCCTAACTCTAGACATAGGCATGAATCATTCTGTGAGCCTTATCCTTAGCCTAACCTTGGGCTTCAACTCTGGTGACTTGAACTATCGGGAAAAGTGGATATCTCCCGCTTGTGGGCCCTTTCCCCCGCACGTGAGCCATTTAGTCTACAGTCCTACTGCATCTATTTACATGGGTGTTGACTCCAATTACCCATACCAGTCAAGTAAATCCTACATCTCATATACACATCCTTCCCTCCGAAAGAAGCCAGTTTTAGAAATGATCAGAAAATGTAGAGAAAAAGTTTTTATGTCGTCAAGCATTCAGTAAAGACCTAATTCCGAAGTTGTACGAATGTCATAAACTATGACTGAAACTGATTGAATGAAGTCGTGAATTCTCACCGCTCCTTCAGAATCTTTAGGCGGCTTCTGTTCCGGCGATGCATCCGGTTCTACAAGCGCAGCGAAATAGGGATAAATATCACTTGAACGATCTACCAGTAGAGTCCCAAGGTATGTGTCAAATCTGGAAAACACGAAGCGAAACAGAATTTGGAGCGTTTTTTTTGAGAAGGAAAAGCAATTGTCAATAGGAACTAGCCTCTGTCCCCCGACATTCAAGCGTATGATGTCGTCGGGTTTGTATTTTTGCGTGTCCTCCTTCATTGATCAATTTACTGAAAAGTGATCAAACTTAAACTTCATAGAGGTATTCGTCTGTAGACGATTAAATAAGCAGATAATTGAAGAGAACCAGAGCGATATGCTGGATCGTGGGAAAGGAAAAAAGGATACTAATGGCAAAAAGTAAACACGGGCAGAAAAGGCTATAGAATGCGGCGTTTGTAGCTGTTTTCGGCAATACCCTACGCTGCCGGTCACGGCACGGCAATGAATACGCGTATGGGCGTTGTGTTCCGGAAAACGACAGTTATGAAGGCGTTTTGTAGCGAGAATCGTCGCCAAGATTTCGCAATGCAAACGATCCGCATATTATAGAAATCGATTCGTTGATGAGTGAAAGGCATTTGGCATTATAAATTTCATAGCTTACGTAAATGATAGCCGGAGTTTCTGGCACACGATAGGTATGCAAACTGCTCATTCACAGCTATGATTCACGGGAAAAATCATAAAAATTCGTCAAGGATCGCCCATCATTCCTCGATAAACGATGAGTTTTGAAGTGAAACGAGTGGTCACGAATTGTCTCGGCACAATTCGTGCAAACAATATACCATCTGTAATGTACATATGTAGTACCTCGAATGGCCGACAAACCCAATAGGACATTCTCTCGAAGGGTGCATTTTTATAATCGGATTGTATTTCGATTAACAGGTGTCAAACCCCGACTGAATTCCTCTTGGAAGAGCACCGATCACATAGCATGGAAATACGACCGCATTTCTTCTAGATGTTTTAGTTTCTTGAAGATCTGCCTCGCTGAGGCCTTCTCTTCCAAACAATGGGTGTTTGACGTACGATTGGCCCACACAGTAGGTAACTGAGTTGAATGTGACACTAACCCATCTGCCCGGCATTGTCCCAGTAGTTATAAACCGACAAACCGATACCGATAAACTAAACAGCATGAGCAAATCTCGCCAGTCACCACGAACGTGTAAATATTGAAGTTTTCAGCGATATACGTGTTGCGGGTGACTAGAGACTTAGGCTTATGGTGAACCCTTTCATTATCATCTCGCGGTGGTTCAGTGGATTTAATGTGAGGAGGAAAATATGTACACAGAGAAGAGTTGAATGTCTTTATTGTATGGCTGCAAGAGGAGGTATATCAGATCGTAGTTCTGATGCTTGTATAGTATGGGTACGCTCCCGCCAGACGTGAGGTCGTGTTGGAGATTTGATTTATTACACGAGTCGGCTCGTGTGAAAGCAAAAACACAAAAGACAGACCATCTAAACCGGAGCACGTAAATGACCCTCAGAACAAAAACGATGGTGATTAAAATAATAAGTAGTACGGCAATCATAGCTATAAACAGCAATGTGGAAAACGGAAGGAAAGAAAAAAAAACAAATGCAACAACAAACGAACGAAAGAAATTATGATATGCATTGGGTTGCTAGTCTTTTGAAGTGAGGACATGATCTAGGTACCCCATCATGCCTCACAATTTTATTGAATTGCATACCAGCGCGATAACAAATAATGACTTCTGTGCCTAGAATCAGGTCGAGGGATAAAGACCTTGATACTTCCGCCACGTACGAGAGTCGCCTGGGAAAAAAGTTTATGCTTATCTAGTGAAACCTTACCAACAAGAATCTTGCATAGCAAGATTAGATCGTTCAATTTCCTTCTTTTTCGAAGCGTCTGCAGGCCGAAAATTTTATTCCTAATCGCACTCTTTCAGGTCACTAGCCCACAAATGAACAGGAGGGAAGACTGCTTCACAATAACGCGGGAATTGAGGCCCTATATGAGGGCTGCCTTCCACCTGTGACTTTGAATCACGAACCGTCCGATTGCCTCACTGCTGGTCTAGTTGTCTCGACAACCAGGCTGTATTACGGTAGCTGGCCCGCCCTTGGATAACGTGATGAGTTCTTTGATCTCTAACTTCGGTAGGGCTCATTAAGACATTTGGTCGGGTAGTCTTAATTGTTTCGATCCTATCAGGCTCTGAAGAAGGCGATTTCCGCCGAAACGTTAGCATAACAAAGGTCATTTATCAACCTCGTGAAGAGTTGAGAAGATATCATCCAGCACCTAACTATGCGAATATACCTAACCGCACTGTTAGGTATATTTGCATAGTATGCATGGACTCTGAAGGACTAACTTGATAGTAAAATCATTTTGAACTTTTTCAAGAGCTTCAATCGAGGATTATCGTGTGTAGGGTATATAACAGTCCTACTCAAGCAATGGACGATATACGACTTGAAAGCACGTAGAAGTCGGAATCACTACAAGCAGAAGCCTTATCCTTGCTGACAATCATGATCAATAGCTCGTCAAAACTAAGGTTACGACAAATGATGAAACCTAGATCTGTGGTCTTGCCCACTGTAACCAGAACTTTGCCGTCTATGTGGTAGGAATTACACCAAAAAGAAGTTTGGAATAGGTTTAGAACCTTATTGTCCAGAGGTATAAGAAGTTTACTAGTCTTGGACCATACGCTCACAACATTCACGGTCTTTTGCAGCTGAGCTGAACGGTATCCCAGTCAATAACTTTGTAAGCCCTTAGGTCATCAGCAAAAAAATTATACTCTACTCCTACAAAAGTGGTTGGAAAAAAGTTCAAAGGTCTATATGTTGAACAACAAGGTAGATGGGACACCACCTTGGACGCCGCTAGTGACCTCCATACTTGCTGAGAAGTAATTGTTCACACGGACTTGAGAAGTTCGATTGGTGAGAAAATTGCGCAATCACTGAAGTAGAATACCATGGAAAACAACAGTTTCTAGCTTATAAAAAAGGTTACTGAGGGGAACTGCATCAAATGGAGTCCTAGCTCTAGTTCACAAGAGTACTTCACGCAACTTACTTTCCAAAAGAGACTTCTGCGAGCATTTACAAACGTTAACACTGGAAATCAACACATATAACCATAAAACCCTCTTCGTCCCCACCTATCGAAGTCCCTCATGCACCATTCAGGCTTTCTCTGATTTCATCAGCTTTCTCCAAACTACTTTCGAGGAATGGGATGATCGCATTGTTCTTCTGGGTGACTTTAATTTTCCCCTGATTGACTGGACTAGTATGACTCATAGAGAGAATACCTTCACCACGTTGTCGAGCACCTTCCTTTCATTTGCTAGGTCATTCAAACTCGAACAAATGGTCAGGAAGCCTACGCATGGACTCAACGTCTTGGATCTCATTCTGGTTTCCGACCCAGAAATAATTGAGAGCCTCTCTGTCCTCCCTCCTTTTAGCACGTCAGACCATAACTGCATTAGTTTCAACATTCGGGATGCTCCCCTTGTTCGTGACCGTGCATCCTGGTCCTTCCGGTGCTTCTCAAAAGGAAATTATAATGCTATAATATCCGAGCTCACTAAGATTGATTGGGTTGCGTTATCTAGTGCTTCCAGAGATTCTGACACTTTTTATGCTAAATTCATTGCAATATGTAAGCAGCTAATGGATAATTATGTACCACTCATACAGTGTCGAGGAAACCCCGAAAAATATCCAAGACGGGTTCACATTCTAAAAGCTAAAATTGAGCGTATTCACTCCTTTTCGGCCGAGCACCATCTCAAATACAGAAGATACTCACGTAGGCTTAAGCGCGCGCTTCTGAAGCATCAACTGATGGTAGAGAAGAAAGTTGCACTATCCAAAAACACTAGACTTTTCATTGATTATTGTAAGAAAAAGTTAAAACTATCTGATGACATTCCCAATATGATTTCTCTAGAAGGCTCTCTGATTGAAGACGATCTAACCAAGGCCAATCTTTTTGCTGATTTCTTTCAGTCCGTCTATAAAATGCCGCACCCCTCTGATGCTAAATTACCCCCTAGGTCTCCTGACACATTAGACTGGGTCGACATATCCACCAATTTAGTTTATGGCTTCCTACGCAAGCTTCCCAACAGAGTATCCACCTCTCCAGACGACGTTCCATACATTTTCTTGAAAAAAGCTGCACTCGGTATCTCAGCACCTCTGGCAATCTTGTTCAACAGAGTCTTACTCCATGGGGACGTGCCTAAGCTCTGGAAGGTAGGACTGGTAAAGCCGGTCTTCAAGAAAGGGTGTAAACGTAACGTTGCAAATTACAGACCCATATGCCTAACGAGTTCCATTAGCAAAGTTATGGAGCGCATTATCTGTAGGAAACTTACTAAATATTTAAATGAAAGGAAGTTGCTCAACAAGAACCAGCATGGTTTCCTCAGTCGAAAGTCCACCACGTCAGCTTTGATGTCCACTATTCCCCTCTGGCAAAGAGAGGTGGATAAAGGGCATTAGTATCAGTGTGCTACATTGATTATGCCAAAGCCTTCGACTCGATCCCCATCCCGTTACTACTGAGGAAATTGGAAGCTTATGGGATCAAGGGAAGACTCCTCATGTTCATACGAAGTTTTCTCAGTGAAAGAGTTAGGCAGTACTGATAAATAAGACGCGGTCTTCCTATCCTACTCCTAGTGGAGTGCCTCAGGGAACATGTATTGGGCCCCTCATGTTTATTTTATATGTGAATGATTTGATGGATTCCCTTCCTGCAGGTGCTTACTGTCATCTTTATGCTGACGACTCGAAAATTTTCACTGTCAACGACTGTAACAAACTCCAAGCCGCTATAGACTGCGTAGAAACTTGGTCAAAAAAAATGGGGGTTGGAAATTTCCATCCAGAAAACTGCTGTTATGGGGCTAGGAAAGAACCATCCGAGCACAACGATCACCATGCATGACAAAAAGCTTGCTCGTGTCAGTCAGATTCGAGACCTGGGGGTGGGATACAGCGACAAGCTTGAATTCGATGCCTTTATCCACGACCTAGTTGCCAAAGCT